CCCCAGGTCATCCCGGCCTAGTGAACACACCAGACATAACTCCCGAGGGCCAGCAAGTGTATACTGTACATCTGGCTCTCTGGAGCTCTGGGCTGGAGTCTCACAGAGAGGTGAGCTCAGGCGTTTGAAATCCCGAGGTGTGGCGGGGACTGTCCTGGTGCGTTAATGGACCAAGGAAGACGCGTTTTGTGGCTGACCTCGTAAGGAGACCTAGTTGGAGGAGGTAGGAAGGTTTTGTTTGTGGCCAAGGAGGCATCCCCCTCCCCTCTCCCCCTCTGAGCATATTTCAGAGTTGGTGCCTGTGCCTGAGTGTCTCTGGGACTGGGGGTCGCCGTCATTTCCCAGACCCAACCCAGCTAAATGGAAGGTCGGAGGCTCAGGGACCCCAGGAAGAAAGGCCTCGCTCGGCGTGCCCTTCCAACAAGCCCGGCCCCCGTTTGTTCTGCGGCAGCTCTCCTCCCCCAGGCAGGACAGCCCACCTTCTGTCTCCTCTCTTCTGTCCGGGCTCGATCTGAGGCCCCTCCAGGTGGTCCTGGGCGCCTGGTGGGACAGCGCTCTAGCTTTCTCCTGGTTTGGGATCCAGGTGACCCCCACCAGGCCCCTCACCGGAGAGCCTTTCTCTGGCTGGAACCAAGTGTGGGAGCTGGTCTTGCTGGCCGGAGTGTAGACTGCCCAGAGAGTTGAGGGGGAAGATACCCCCCCAAAAGCCAGAGCAGGGCCACACGTTCCGGAAACCACCCAGGGAGAAGCGTCCACCACCCAAACAAAGGCCCACTCATTCACTCTACAAACGTGCCAGATTCAAACCCACCACCACCCACTCCTGGCCACCGCCCAGGGCCGAATGGGAACTGCTCCATGGGGTGTCAGAGGCGAATCTTCACAGCAGCTGCAAGCGTTTAGCCGCCCAGCCCTCAATCCCCTGTGCTCCCAGAGCAGCTCGACATGTTTCTAGCACCCCAGAGGTCTCTGCCCACTACCGCGGGGCAGCAGGCACAGGCCGCTGGACTCCTGTGGTGACATCAGTGTCCATGTGCACAGAGCTCAGCCTGCTATCCTTCAAGCTGCAGTGTGTGGCTCAGGAGGCTGTGTGACCAGCGGCTCGCCTACCAGCCAGCGCTATTCCAAAATATTCTGTCACCGCAGTCAGGGCTGCTCTAGAGTAGGAAACTGTGGGCCGGAGAACAACCAGTGGTGACCGGTGGTGGGCGGAGTCCTAAGGAGGAGGGTCCGGTGGAGATGAGGCAGGGCGGTCAGTGAGTGTGCTGACCACGACCCCGCCTGAGAACTGGCACCGGAACCAAGGGGGCAAACCCACCCAGAGACGGGCTGGAGGAATGGGCTTGTGTGATGGTGGGCTTCGCCATGGGCTGCTGTCCGCGAGGGCCTCTCAGACCCGCCAGCGACCCTGCAGGTCAGCGGCTCTCCACCTTCTGCAGGCCACAGCCCTTTCACACAGTTCCTCATGGGGTGGTGACCCCCAACCGTAACATTATTTTCGTTGCTACTTCACAACTGTCATTTTGCTACTGTGATGAATTGGGCGACCCCTGTGAAAAGGTTGTTCGACCCCCAGAGGGGTCGCGGCCCACAGGTTGAGAAGCGCTGCTGTAGGAGAAAGGTGGGGCGTCCTGCCCCCATTACGAGGTCACAGTTTGGAGCCCACAGGGAAGCTGTGCTCCGTCCAGTAGGGCCGCGGGGAGTCGGAATGGGCCTGAGGAGCGTGGGTTGGGGACTGTGGGCTGATGAGGTGACTCCCAAGTCCACCAG